GAGATCTTTAACGTCCACCTGAACTGGACCTCAGTTTAACATCTCATCCGAAGGACGGATAATTGTGCAATTATACTCCAGATATTTTTTTGGGAGGTTGAGTGTCACACAATATAAATTAAGATTTTTACCCTTCCCTAAGTTAAACTGATTTCCCATACGCTTTTTCATGACTCCTTTAATTGTATCACAAATCCCTGCAACAACATTTTAATTCATTTTGTACAAAATAAATGAATAGAACTTTTGGCATTTATTACTGTGATTTATAGTATCTATATCCACATTATAATTTGTAAACGATTCGAATTTTACACCATACACACGCTGCACATTCAAAAATTAGGTAAGGATGAGGTCAGGAGTTTCTTGACAGCCTTTAACTTTGTTTTCATTCTTTGACAAATGTACAACTCTTAGAATCAATGTGCTTGGCTGCAAAACAGTTGATTATTGTGTAAACTACAAGACGATATATATGACCACCGTTGTTCTTGAATTCTGCTCGTATCTAGCTATGCTGCTTAGTTGATTTCTATGGCTGAACTGTTTTGTCTTTCATTAATATCTCCAAAAGAATTTCACTCTCTTGAGTGTATAACCTTCCAGTTGGAATTTAATTTCTGTGCCACACATACGTTTTCAAGTCTGCTTTAAAATAACACACTTCAGTTCACTGACTCTGCAGTGATTAGTTTTTAAGTTGGAGTATATCTCGTCCCACTGCTGATTGCAGGGATATTCAGCCTGATTTAAAGCCCTTTTAAGCTTCAGCAATTTGAGATTGCATTTAAATCTTGTGTGTTTGAAGATTCAACACCTGTAATTTTATGGTTAGGCTTCTTTTATAGGCTAGTTATATTGGTGTTTGCTTTGATTGAGTTTGAAGACACCACCAAATCAATGCAAATTCTGCAGGGGAACCGGTTTAAGATAAGTGGTTCAGATTCCCATTGCCCGCTGAACTGTATATGCCAGAGTGAGTCAGGACCTTCAGCAGAGGATGAGATGGTACAATTGACGAGGTCCTGCATTGTACTTGGCATTCAGATACTACAGTAGTTGGTAAAACCTGCACTTCCATGTAAGGATATACTTGCACAGATAACAGGATACTTTCACACACTACAGTATGAGAGACCTTGATTTCCTAAAGTATCAGAAAAATAGTGGTTCTAAGAGTAACATTTTCCATGTTCTCTTTTATTTTGTTATCGTTGCTGGTGAAAATATAATCATGCTGTTTAATATTTCCTTTTTGTAATACTGTCTTTATTAATCAATGTTTAATGCAGCTACTGACCTGCCGGTCTACTGTGTTTTTGCTCCTGACTCGTCAATCTTTTTTCCTGGTGCGTTATCTCCACAGTCAGTATGCAGCTCTACTCATTTCTTCTTTCTTTAAAGGATTAATTTCCTCAAGTTAAATTTTAGCAATTGACTTCCACATTGTTAAGATAATAGTGAAAGATAGTGACTTGTCATTGGAGGGAGGTTGTGCTTTTTTCTGCCTTCGTGATGTACATTTTTGTAATTATAGTGTGCTTGCAAGTAAGAAAACATTGTGCCATTTATCAAGATTTCTACCTAACCCAGCTATATTTCCTTCTTAGGAAAGGCAGAATCCCAGCAGTCAATAACTTCAAGCCTCTCCCCTGCCCCCTTAAATCACAAATTTTCCAAACCCATATTTAAGAAGGAGGCAAAGAAGGAAAGGTCTTTACCTCACATGCTTGCTTATCTTAATTAACAAAGAGACCTTTGAAATCCAAGATGGAAGAATCAGAGGTATTGATAGAGAACTCTGCATAGAGATAAGGAGAGTTGAAAGATATAGCTCCTCTTAGAAATGAAAAATGCAGAGTTGGAGCAAATTATTTCCTTTCCCGCCTCCTTTCTCCACCCCACCCCTGAGAAACGATTACTTACTTGAAAGCGTGTGCTATTAGGACAAAGTAGAGGAAAGTGATAACTTTTAAGAAACCATAAGAAACTGCATGATCTTCCAGTGCTTGCAGTTTCAATTAATATTCTGTACTCATTTTATGTTTGTTATTTCTCATGATGGTTTGGATACTCTTACGCATAGGGATGGGTTTCCGGATGTGTCAGCCACCCAGCTGACCAAAACAAAATGTTACCTAAATATGAAAAAAGAAATGAATTTCTTTAGAATTTTGTAGTTTGAGTTATGGACTGTAAAAAACTGTACATTGAACCTATACAAGCAGCTTTGATAATATTATACACAACGAGTGAAATTCTTCTCTCACGATACAATATATAGTTTGGGACGCGACATGTCATGCTACTGCCAGGGCGAACTGGATGGACCTTGGTCTTCTTTCGCCAGCAAATTCTTATGCACTTATGTTCTTACAACATTCATCCAAATTACATTTCATTGCAATTTGAATTTCCACTGTCCACGCAGTCTTCGGGAGAACTTCTATATTGCATCAAATTGGCATAATGTAACTATTCATTTTATATTTTATTTAATGATTTTGCATATTAATTCAGGTGGAGATTTTCAGGCTAGTGAGTTACAAATTGTACTGTCCAGAATGTTGCTCCAATTTCACTTAATGAGAAGAGGTGATACCTAAGCAGAAAGCTTGTGAGAGAGTTCCAGAAAAAACACACCAATTTGAACCTTCTTGGGTTCCAGATTTAAATCCCTGCAGACATAAGGGTTCAATTCTCTTTCCTACGGGTTTTTACATTTTTTTCAATTTCTCATTTGGTTGCTTGGTGATCCTACACAAAATTCAACTAATTCAAAACTCTGCCGCCCGGATAATAAACCGCACAAAACTTTGTACCCCCATCACACAAGTCCTTGCCAGGCTCCACTGGCTCCCAATTACTGAACAGATCGATTTCAAGATCCTCTCATGCCCTCGCACCTCCCTACCTATCCGATTTGCTTACTCCTCATTCCACACCCGCTGCCTCTGCTCAGCTGGCTCCGGGCTCCTATTTGTCCCTTGTGCCAGAAACTTCACTTTTAGTGGGTTTATAGTGAGGGTGTTTATAGCAGATTCCGCAGAAAAATTGCAGCCGCACTTTTCTGTTGGCCCAGATAACCTAAGGTTTGCTTTCACTCGAAACCACAAAGGAGACCATTTCATGTGCACACAGACACAATTTTCATTCTACAAAAACATGACAACACATGTGCTTTCTTCCTAACTCATCAGTTAGTTTTTTACAATGAATCCTCATGTCAGCAAGTCTTTAATCATCTTTGCAGATTTGGTGTTTGGAAGTTTCTTCCATTTAGTTTGGAAATAATGGCCAAGAAAACATTAGAGGCATATTCTGAATTTATAATAAAATAATAATAATCCTTGCATCTGATACAGCGCTTTTCACGTCTTCTAGAGGTCTCAAAGCACTTCACAGAATAGACTGTAAAGTGAATTGATTGTATATTTGTGGGAGAAACATGGCAGCCAATTGTGCACAGAGTGACAAACAGTCATGGATTGAAATGACTAATTTATTATTTTTTTTCTTGAGGAATTATTATCAGGCGTGTGGAGTAAGGAAACTTGCCCAAGGTTTCGCTCTGCCGGGAATTGAACCCAGGTCTCTCACTTGCGAAGCGAATGCTCTAACTACTGAGCTACAGGACTCCCAATTTCTGAACACAATCGGTTTTATAGGCAATTAGAGCATAGACATTCCTAGAAAAGAGGAGATCATGTGTAAATCAGATTTGAACCTAGTTGGACAAATTTGGAGAAAAAAAATTGATCCATTTGCTGATTTTGAAACATGGTTTTGCAACTGACTCCTAATTTAATACACAATGTTGTGTTGTTCAGATGATTTTTAATTTAGCCAATTTTCTTCTGAAATGTTTACTATTAGGAGATCTGAGTCTGAAGCAAGTTCTGAGTAGAAGGAAAAAACAGATAAAATTGATCATTCACTTGATCGCTGTTTGTGGGACCTTCCTGTGCACAATTGAGCTCCCATGTTCGCCTAAAAAATACTGTGACAAGACATTACAGTGAATCCAGGGAATCTTTTCAGACATCCTATTAACATGAAAGGCAGTATATCAAATACAAGCATTATTATCAATTATTAATTATTATAGGCAGATTTATAAAACATAGATGCTTTGTTTTGTATCTCAATAATATATATGAGGGGTTTTGGTGGATGGATGAAGGCTAAAGTCATTTTGCAGGTTTATGTGTTACGGTTAACAATCATGACCTTTATTTTACTCCATTTATTTCAAATGACATTTACATAACATGGGCTCATATCATTGAGATTCTGTTGGTGCTCCAGATCTGGAAAGGGCGGAAAAAAATCTTAACACATTATTGAGCTATAATTCCAGTTAGTGTTTACATGTAGCACCTTCAGTGATGCTCGATTATAATGGGGGACATCCCATTAGTGGCCTTCATCACCAAAGTCACAACACATAATATCGACTGGAATTTCAGCTCTCATAAAGTTGAGATAGATGGTTTTGTGTGTAATTTTACAGAGAATTTAGATTCCATCTATTCCTACTTTTTTCCGAAATAGTCATGGAATTGTACTAAAGTATGGCCTAAATGTTTGTCAATATTGTGGAGTCCTGAAGCGTATTGGTTAGAGCACTTGCCTTGGAAGCGAGAGGATCTGGGTCTGTTCCCAGGCAGGGCAAAATGTTAGGCGATCTTCTTTAATCCACACTCTCTGTTTACCTAGCAGTAAGTAGGAACCCGGTTGCTAGTCAATTGGAGAATTGCTTTTCTGGGGGTAATAATCCTTTCAAAAAAAGAATCCCCCCCCACCCCAAAATAATTTGGTCACTCAATCCACAACTGTTTGTAGTACAATTGGCTGCCGCGTTTCATCCCCAAAATATACAGTCAGCTCACTTTGCAGTATTCACTGTGAAGCGCTTTGGGATATCTCGAAGATGTGTTAAGGGGCTATATCAAATGCAAGCATTATTATTAATATTTTTGTGTATTTTATTGAAGGCAGAGAACTCAGCCCTTGCTATGGAGAATGAAAATCAGAGAGAGCAGTATGAACGGTGTCTCGATGAGGTAAGATGAAACAATTGTAAACAATAATAACATTTGTAGGATTACTTCCTGCATCTCCGGTAAGATTTTCCTTTTTATTAGTTAGTATTATTTTTAGATTTGTAACATTTCTTTTTCACACTAGTTGTTTTCTGCCAATTTAGTGTGTGAGAATGATTGTTTGTGTACAGTATCCACCAGGAACTGATTTGAGATTAACAGACTCAATTATCTATTAATTAATCTATTAACATTAACAGACTCGATTATCATGCAACTATCTATCCAAGAGCTATCAGAGAAAGAAGATATTCATTTCATCTGACCAGGCTGGATTCAAAATCTAGATCCAAAAGTTGAAAGTTTGTATTATCCACTGTGTTACCAATAATCAGTCAGAGAGAAGACAATTCCATCCCATCAGCCTAGTATGGATTTATCCCTGAGTTCCAGAGATGAAACATCAGTGTTCAAACCCTTTGCATTATCCAGTCTCTTAGAAAAGGTTTTATTATAAGCAACCCTTCCTTATATGAATAAGTGAACCATTTACTCTAATTAATTCAGCTTTGCTGTCTCATAGCACTTGAAGGTATTTTGAAAATGTATGAATGCATTGCAAAGCTGTTGATTTATTGTTTTGGTGTGCCTGTTGCTGCTATTTTGAATTTTAATGGCCCAAGTTATTATAATATTGTATCCAGCCCTCCCAGCTCTGTGCTTTAACTCGTGTTGTGTTCACTTCATGCTTGCATGCTTCTTGTCAAACCTTCATCTTCACCAGTGGTAAGGTCTGGACGATGAAATCCCCCCTGGTGCTATGATTCATATTAATTGATAGCAGGTGAACTCTGGGGTAGGAATAATCTCTATGATGATTTTTCTCCCCATGAGTTGGCACACAACTCCACCACATAGAGCTCCATCCAGTGGTCCGTTCAATCAGAGATCAATGAAACTAACCCCATGGTACCAGAGTTCAAACATTTTAGCTGGGATTCAAAACCACGTCATGGTGATAGTTTCCTAGCTGTCTCCGGATTAGTTTGGGTTCCACTTCTTAACGATTATCTTCGCTTATTGTGAATGCTTCTGAATTTAAGCAAATCTGCTGCAGTTTTTCACAAAGTTAGGAGCCCCAGAAGAAGGGGGGAGGAGGAAGATATCTCTTAAAACATGCTGACATAGGATTTTCAAATATATATTTTGCAGTAGCTTCTAAGTGCTGCTGACTTTTGCAGTGTGTCTGCATAGCACTGGATTCTGATATCAATTTATACGTCTTAAGGGTGGTGCAAAAATAAAAGGAATTGGAACAGATGTGCAGATCTTCTGGAGCCAAGTATTTATTTCACTACATGCATTTTAAATAGAATTGCATTTATTTACACACAGATGGAACAAATCTGCAGTAAAGTGCAGGATATTTTTATGGTTTGAAACAGAATAGTCCAAATAAAGTCAGCAGGAATTTGCAGCAAAAAAAATCTACTTAAAACTCACCAAATAGGTTTTAAGTGATATTACAGTCGAGGAACCTTGTTCTGTAAATGCTAATAATAACAATAATCCTTGCATTTGATATAGTGCCTTATCACTTCTTCGAGACGCCTGAAAGAGCTTCACAGAATATACTGTAAAGTGAATTGACTGCGTTTTGAATGCAAATAATAATAAGAAGAAATTTAATGCTGGTTCAGTACATTTTTAATTAAGGATGAAAAGGATTATTTATCAGAAGGGCACCTTGTATTTAAAATCATAAAAATGCCTAATATGGAATCTTAGTTGGCAGATTATGTAGTAATTCTAATCTTTACATAGACTTTCCTGTAAACTCCTTATCTAGCGGCTAAAACTGGAAATAGAACCATAGAGAAGACCTATCATTTATCCAGCCTTCTACATATTACCAAGTGGAGCCGAGGCTCTTTTCCAGTGGTGGGGGTGGGGGGGAGGGATCTGAGTCTGGTGAGGAAATTAAATGGGAGTTGGGGTCTCAGCCTGAGTATCAAAAGGATATATTCCTGGTTTAAGATGGAGAGAAAGACCTTGTAATTAAATCCCCCTGTATCCAAATCTGTGTGCCTGTGGGACTCCCCTATTGCATTTTAACTTAGATTAGAAGTGTAATGGAGCAAAGCTGCCTACTTCCCCTCTTTTGCCTATAACTTAGTTATGTGACAGATGAGATATTTAAAAGTTACTTAGCACATCCATTCTCTTATACTTAGTATTAACATAGTACCTAATGCTGCTTTATACATTACCTATTGGAAGGTTTCCAACAGCCTTTCGTATTCTTCATCGGTGTTGACCTGTTACATTTATCCTGGATATTTCTGAGCTGTAAGATGCTTGTTTTCCTTTCATAGGGAGGATAGTTTGGCAAAATCGCTAAGAGTGTAATACATGAGCCCATCTTGTGAATGTAATCATAATTGTTCTGTTTGGATGAGTGGAGGGAGAACTGTGCTATGTGGATCACTTCAAAGTTCCACACTTGGATGATGGATGACAGTGTGCTCTGCCACTAAATCAATATCAATAATTTGATTCAATCAATTATACTATGTGGTCTTCATGGCCCTGTCTGTGGGCTGGTGACGGGAAGTAGGTACATTTTTACAACCTTTCAGAACAACTGTCAGTTATCATAAACAGTGGACTGATCTACTATGGTATCAATATTTTAACAAGGAATATTTCACTGTCATCAACATAGGCAGGCCCTAAATTGTTTGCACTTTTCCATTTGGAACATTTCTTTCACTTAACCAAATAGTGTGTGAATTGAAATGAACGATACAAAGATTCAGAATTACCAGTTAATGTATTACATCCACATTAATCTGTATTTTGCAATAGAAATGTAATTTGCCCAATTTTATAGATGACAAGACCATCAGAATTGGCAAATTGATTTGAATTATGTGAATCAGTGTAATAAGAGTCTGTCCAAAGTGTCATCACTAGTATTAATTAACTAAAGTAAGATGCCATTTCATGCTATTGAATAATATCACATATGAGTACTTTTTAATATTTTTGAATTTATGCTTAGATTAAGCTAATTTAATAAAAGAATCATCAATTATAGAGTGAGAAGAGGATTTGGGCGAGTGTGTAACTGTTATTAATACTCACTTTATTTTCTCTGAAAGGTTGCCAATCAAGTGGTCCAGGCATTGCTTACTCAAAAGGTGAGTGCTTTTACTGATTTCATAGGTACACTCAGCAGAAATAATATGGCCTTTATGAACTGAGAATCCGGTCAGGAGCAGCTTGCATTGAAGATCACTTGACACCGTGCAGAAAGAGAAAGAAATGTCTCCCAGTCACTAATGTTGCAGGTTATTCATTCATCTCATGGCTGTTTGTGGGTCTTTGCTGGAGCAAATGCAGTAACAGTCTGTCTAGGAATATCATGCAAAGTGCTTTGAAATGTTTTGACGCGATAAGGCACTTTTATATTAATAATCCTTGCATTTAATTTAGCGCCTTATGTCTTCGAGACGTCTCAAAACACTTCACAGAATATACTGTAAAGTGAATTGACAGTGTATTTTGTGGGCGAAGTTGCAAATTCTTTATTTATAATGGGGACTCATAGGCATCAAAGATTATTCTAGTTTTAATTTCTTCAGTTGATGAGAGATGCTCCTAATTTTTCTCCAGAAATGAAGGAATGCTACAGTCAAAATCTGCTTCATAGAGATAAAGAACTAATGCAACAGATAACTGGAAGTGTATTATAGAACAATTGTCCAATCTGTGATAGGGGACATAAAGCTCAAACTTGACTGCAAAGGATTAGGATGTTAACTGGATTGATGCTTTGTATTCCCATATAAGTAAGTATCCATTATTTTCTGTTGCTCTGCTAAATGTAGACAATTTATTAACAAAAATGGTTGTATTTTAATTCTTTGCTACATTGTATGAACTTTATAGGACTTAAGGGAGGAGTGCCTCAAGTTACGCACCAGGGTCTTTGATCTTGAGCAACAGAATCGAACACTGAGCGTTCTATTCCAACAGAGAGTTCGGCTGGCCTCGGATTCCCTTTTACAGGTATTGCAGTGAATATCTAATATTTGCATGTCTGCTTGTTTGTTGAACTTTCACTTAACTTTCACATTTCTAAAATAAACTGTAGTCCCATCTACCTGTTCATATGGATGTTAAGGATCTTATGGCTCTATTGAAAAAGCGAGTTTCTCCAATGTCCAAGCGAACAATCCCCCAGATTCAATTGGTCATTCATTTCATGCTTGCTTATGAGACATTGGTGTGCACAAATTGGCTGCTGTGTTCATCTACAAGTGTGCAGTCACTACACTTTGCAATAAATTTAAAGTGCTTTGAGACGTTTTGATGATGCGATAAGTTAGTGATATCAATGCAAGGGCAAATGATAAATAAATTATCCTTGCACTTGATATATTTCACTGAGTGGGGAGGTGGGGGGGGGAGTCACACATTGCTTCACAGGGGTTACTGTAAAGTATAATGACTGTATTTCATGGGATTATTTTAGGATGAAAAGATTTGTGAAGGGGGACAAGGAACATGATTTGGGGATGGTTATTGATCATTCACTGAACATTTACAGTTAATCAGAAGATGTTATCAATAAAATTAATCAATCTAAGGTTACACCTTCACAATATTTGATTCTAAGTCAAAAGATGTTTTTGTAATATTGCATGGGTCACATTAATGCCTCTTTCTATCCAAATCCCTGACTTTCCAATGCCTTGGGACGTCCTCTCGACATGAAAGGAGCTATGCAAATATAATATTGTATTGCATCTTTTTGGTGTACTAATAGCTAGAGACAGATAAAGAGACAAAACGAGATTTGGAAACAGCAAGGGATGTCAGAAAAAAATCAACAGTGAAACAGAAATAAATTAATTCAAAAGTTTGCAGTAACGTTGAAGAATAAGTCATACATCTAAATAACGAGAAAGGGGTGACATTAATGGTTACGATAATAACTGAAGATGAGTAAGATGGGATAGACATGAAAACAATAAAAAAAAATCTATGCAGCAAAGATGTCAACTTGTGATCATGTTATCTGTAAGTCTGAAAGTCTGCATCTTCAAGCACATACGCCTACATTGTCATCTTAGGACACATTACTCCCAACACAAGAGCTATTAGAAACTTCCTGGCCTGCTCTAGGTATCGACATAACAGTCCAAATGGATGGTACAAAAATGACATTTGGCCTTTAATTTTATATTACAGGTCATTTTGCTGCCAAGCAATTGACTGGATTTTTTTTTATTAGAGATGTGCAGTGTCAGTCAATCAGACACTCTGCACTATATTAATGATGAAAACGTATTTTGCAAATTGACTAGCATTACACACAGAAACAAAAATGGTAGATGTCACTATCTAAACAGACAGAAAACCTCATGAATTAAATAGGCATCTAATATTTTGTGTAATTTATATTTTATATTAGTTTAAAGTGATGGGAATTTCAGAGAATATATTTATTTTTTTCCTTATAGACAAACCAATACTGGTGGTGAAGATTTGCCTTGTTGTTAGAATTGTAACAACATTTGGGCTTATGTAAAAGGATAGGTCTTGCGGACGACTTCTAAATATTATTTTATATTATTCTCCCTATCACCTTGGAGCAAAATTGGTCCATAAAAGACCAACGAGAAGCCAGCTTAATCATGGCACAGTTGTTTACAAGTGAACTATTTGACTGATGATTGTGTTAAATTTTAATGCCTTGTTATAATGTTGATAACAAACAGAGTTTGCTTCAAACATTAAAGTGATGTGGAAGCTTGATTTATATTTCCTGCTGCTCATTAACATTTTTTTAAAAAATCACCTCCTTTTTAGAGCTGAATTTTAAAATTGCATGTTTGTTTATTAATATTTTATGCAATTTGCTCTTTATACCATTAGACATTTGAAAAATAGCCCTGTGAACGATTATGAACCTTCCAGGACATTCATGGTTACACATGTGTATGGTGCCCCATTGCAGCCATAATCATGATGTAGAAATATAAAAGTCCATTCTAAATGAGTAATGACAAGATCCCTAGTGTTGGTCTTCAGCCCAACAGAACTGGAGCAAATGTGGAAAGGCCCATTACAGCATCAGGGAGCGCATGCAGGACAAGACGAAGAGTCCTGTAGCCTGTAGCTCAGTGGTTAGAGCACTCGCTTTGCAAGCGAGAGACCTGAGTTCAATTCCAGGCAGAGGGCGAAACCTTGGGCAAGTTTCCTTACTCCACACAGAGCCTAATAATAATCCCTCCAAAACCAAAAACAATAATAAATTGGTCATTTTCAATCTAAGACTGTTTGTGGGACATCGCTGTGCGCAATTGGCTGCCGCGTTCGCCCACAATTCACTTTACAGTGTGTTCTGTGAAGCGCTTTGGGACGTCCTCCTGACGTGAAAAGCGCTATATCAAATGCAAGGATTAGTATTATTATTAAGAGAAGACATTAGGAAGAAACAGATGCTTAAAACCGCATGAACAGTGAGGCATCTTAGTGGTCTTTAGTGAAGGACTTAGTGGAGTCCTATAGCTCAGTGATTAGAGCCCTTGCAAGCGAGAGACCTGGGTTCGATTCCCTGCAGGCCGAAATGTTGGGCAAGTTTCCTTACCCCACATGCCTCTGTTTACCTAGCAGTAATTAGGAACCCGGTGGTCAGTCGATTGGCAGATTGCTTTTCCGGGGGCAATAACCCCTCAAGAAACAAATATATAATTTGGTCACTCATTCCACGACTGTTTGTGGGACACTGCTGTGCGCAATTGGATGAAGACGTGAAAAGCGCTATATCAAATGCAAGGATTATTATTATTAAAAATTATGAACAGTTGCAGGTCTGTACAAGTTACAAATATAATCAAGTATGCAAGCAGAGTAGAACAAAAGCAGAAAAAAACATTTAAAACCAGTACATCTGTGTTTAAGTTAAACATATCCAGAGACTGGGTGGGAAAATGGTGGAGTCAGCTAAGGTATGACTTATAATTTAGTGTTCTGCCTGTGAAATCAACAGCAACAACTTGCATTTATATAGAACCTTTCATGTGGGATAGTGTCTCAGAGCGCTTACAGTGGTGGAGCTTGATACCGAGCCAGGGACAGAGGGGTGGTCAGCGTATATATGATGATTTTTAATTGTTAATAGGTCGTTTTTAATGGGTTGTTAACAACAACAACTTAGATTTATATAGTGCCCTCCACGCTGGACGGCGTCTCAGAGCGTTTCACAGTAACGGATCCCGGGGCTGAGCCAGGGGGAGGGGGGGAAGGTGACCAAAGGTGCGGTCAAAAAGAAAGGTCTTCAGAAGGGACCTGAAAATAGAAAGAGAGGGAGCGAGACGAAGGGAGTGAGGAAGGGAGTTCCAGAACCTCGGGGCATAATGGCTGAAGGCACGGCCGCCGAGGGTGGAGCGGAGGACTCGGGGGACAAGATGAGGCCAGACCTGGTGGAACGAAGGCAACAGGCACTGTTTTGAGGAGAGAGGAGGTCAGAGAGGTAGGGGGGTGCAGAGGAGTGGAGGGATTTGAAGACAAGAGTGAAGATCTTGAAGTTGATCCTCTCTGGGACAGGCAGTCAGTGCAGTCTGGCAAGGACTGGGGTGATCGGGGAATGGAGTTTCGTGCGGATGAGAATACGGGTGGCAGAGTTTTGTATAATCTGGATTTTATGGATGGTAGTAGAGGGGAGACTGGTGAGGAGGACGTTTGAATAGTCCAGCCGAGAGGTGACAAACACATGGACTAGGGTTTCAGCGGCTTTTGGAGTGAGGTATTGGCGGAGACGGGTGATCCGTCGGAGGTGGAAGAAGGAAGTGCTGGTGAGGGACCGGATGTGGGGGAGGAAGGATAATTGGGGGTCGAACCTGACCCCTAGGTTGCGTACGGGTTTGGGGAGTTTTAGGGGGAGGTCGAGTAGGTGGAGGAGGTGAGAACCGTGAGATTTTAGACGTTGACGAGAGCCAAAGAGTATGGCTTCCGTCTTGTCAACGTTCAGCTGAAGGAAATTTGCGCTCATCCAGCCCCAGAGGTCTGACAGGCAGACTGACAGAACATCAGGGGACTGGGGGTCGCAAAGAAAGGTGGAAAAATAGAGTTGGGTGTCGTCCGCGTACGTGTGGAAGTGTACCCCATGTCTGTGGATGACATCCCCAAGAGGGAGCATGTAGATCAAAAAGAGGAGGGGGCCAAGGATGGATCCTTGGGGTATCCCGCAGGTAACCGGGTGAGAGTGGGAGGAGAAGCGGTTTGTGCAGATGTACTACTGGTGGTTTGTGAGGTAGGACTCGAACCAGGCGAGTGCGGTCCCACTGAGGTGGATGTCGGAGGAAAGGCGGTGAAGGAGGATGGTGTGATCGACTGTGTCGAACGCGGTGAAGAGGTCCACGAGGACAAGGAGGCAGAGGGAGCCCTGGTCACAGATTGAGGATGTCGTTTGTGACTTTCACAAGCGCAGTCTCTGTCCTGTGGGCAGGGCAGAAACCGGACTGGAGGGGTTCAAAGAGGGAGTGGGAAGAGAGGTGTGCGCGGAGTTGATTTGCCACAACGCGTTCTGGGACTTTTGCGAGGAAGGGCAGGTTAGAGATAGGGTGGTAGTGGCTGGGGTTTGAGGGATCTGGGAAGATTTCTTGAGGAGGGGGGTGATGACAGAGGTTTTGAGAGAGGCAGAGACTGATCCAGAGGAGAGGGACTGGTTGATGACTTCATCCAGCGGTGGGCAGAGGAGGGGGAGCTGGGTGACCAGCAAGTTGGTGGGGAGGGTTTCGAGGTAACAGATGGTGGGTTTTATAGAGGTGATGGTTGGTGACAGGGAGGAGGGAGAGATGGGGAGGAAGGAATGTAGGATGGGGGTGGTGGTAGGAGCAGATGATGGGGAGGGTGAGAGGGACATGAGGACAAGGAGGCAGAGCCCTGGTCACAGATAGAGGATGTTGTGCCTGTTATCACCCAACACCATGGTGTTGGGTGACAAGAGGCAGGTGGATGAGGCTGCCTGGCGGATGTTGTGAATTTTAGATGAAAAGAAG